AGGTTTACTGTAGATCGCTGAGGGACTTTAAGCTCAATGATAACTTATCAAGGATATTGAGCGATAAACAGAAACATAAATCAATGGTATCAAAATGACCAAAGTAGACATACTCTTATTTATTTAATCAGATCAGCCTTTTACTTTTCGGTTATGATATCGCTGTAAAAAACACCACATGATGCAATTAACCTCTTAATGTTAATATTTATATACTCTAAGTGAGTGTAAAACCCCTAAACTTTTTTTAGACAAAATTTAAAGTTAAAAAAAAGTCTTAAAAGTAAATAAATAGAAATAAAAGATGTGGAGAAACTGTTGGCAGAGGTCTCCCCCTGTCACAGTTTACAATCAGATCTGGTTTGTTGCCAAGTTCAAGCAGAGGTCAGACTGCACAATCGTATTTTCTGTTACGACGGACGGTCACCAAAACAGAGCATCGTCAGAGCTCACTCAGCGTCCGCTGTACAGAGAGGGGATTTTTTCTGTGACATGTTTGTTTTTTCTAAGATAAAGTTATGAGATCAGCCAATCAGAGGCATGGCTGACTTGACTGACAGGCAGGCACATTGTAGAAGTTTGCAAGGAGGCAAAAGGCTCGTCTCTGATAGGTCAACAGAAAGTGAAGTTGGGTCAGCATAACCAATATTTCCTGAATCTCACAATACCAACTTTATCCTTCTTTTTTATTTCGTTTACGTTTGTGAATGTTTCATTTGAGTGCTTTCACAGGTCAACGTCACAGTCGTCTGAGAACACACCACAGAAGATAGAAAGAAGAATGAAGGTTAAGACTTTCAGGAGGTCATGAGGCGTCACAGATGCGGCCTCGATCGTTGTTTGCTATTAAACAATACATGGTTAGAGTTTTGGATTTCAGGGTTGATGGGTCTTAAAACTCTGGGTATGCTGGACTGGGCTGCTATCATGCTTTAAACAGGTGGTCTGACCTCGGCCTGACATCCAAAGAATCTGTCTTGGTGTTTTGGTGAAAAAGCTATGATCACAGAGGCAGGAAAGAAAAATAGAAATCAGCAGCACTTCCATCATCAGGGAATTTTTGTCAATTAAGATAAAACTATTAAAAAACATCATAAACATGTAAAACAGACGAAACAGAAGAGCAGTAGAGGATTGTGCATGACGATAGTGAGCTCAACAAGTTTAGAGATGGTGTGCAATGTAACGCTGCGGTCAGGCTGAACGTTTTAATCAAGATTGTGGTCTGATCCTGAATCCCTGAGGTATCAAGTCTGAAGATAGTGTTGACTCGAGGACTGTGCCATAACAAACTCCTGGACATGACCACAACACTTCATCTCTTGATCTGTTCCCTGTCAGCGATACAGTACAGAGCACTCGCCTGGTAAAAGTTATGAGCGTAAACAAACCATGGTGCTGCGAAGGCGGAATGATAAAAGTAGTGCTGCGACATGGAACTACAAAAAAGAGAAAAAGTTCATCAAGGTCTGGCAACAACATCCCCGCCTTTAGGAAGTGTCGTCAAGGGACACATGACAGTAGACTGATTAAGGATAAACGTCAAGAAGCAGCAGAGACACTTCTGTAACTCGCTGAGTAACTGCCGTTAGCATTTCCATTGTCATTTAGCTGTTTCCCTTATCCTTCCTGTGTCATCTGGTCATCATATCGTCTCTCATGTCTGTTGACCAAGTCACGGCACAATTTGGTGGTTCTGATATCGCCAAATCTGACACACTGACTGGGGTGAGAGTTCATGTAGTCTGACTTTGGCACATGCAGACAAAACTCATGTCTACTGATGGGTAAAGTAACGTATAAGGAATGTTTAAAGTCTGTTAAGTCAAGCTTAGTGATAAACTCCACATCCTGAATTTTTTTCACTGTGAAGAGCCAAAAAAGGTGATATGAAGCTTTTGTGTGTGTGGGTGTGTGTTTGTGTCCTTGTCCCAGTATACCAGTGTCGATCGAGGATTGTTTTATTGACAAAAGCTTGTCCACCTCTGTTGCAGCAGGGGTACAAATTTAGGACATACTCAGGTGTCAGAGTCCTCAGAGGAGAAAGCATCAAGTCTCTGGAAAGAACAGTCATGTGTCAGACTTCAGATCAAGTGGCCTCAGACCAAACAGACCCAGACTAAACAGTTTCAGATACACTGACCTGGGAAAAATTGATTCAAACCACTTTTTTGTGTGTGTGTCCAAAATGGAATTCATGGGACATCATTTTTGACATCCGAGGTAATTTTGTTTGAGTCCCAGTTGGTATTAATCTGATACAAGACTGTGTTGTTTTTACAGAGACTTGATGTTTTTACATCTGCGGTCTTTCACCTGAGGACATCCTAAAATGTTCACTGTACAGGTTTCGCTGTGGGCCGTCTCCTCATTGACTAATCGTTTGTCGAATGATAAAAACACACAACTTTACAGCTTTTACCATCTGTACACACAACCCCACAGCTGTCTCTTTTTTACATCCCTTCTTATGTCGAGATTTTCTTTACTATCCTTTTTTCTACTACACATTTATGTTGCTCAACTTCTGGGTCTAAACTCAACATGTGAAGTGTTGTCCATGCACACAATCTCAAGGCGGTTTTCAGTCTGACTAAGGTGAACACATGGAAGAGAAAACCAACCCTTAACTGTATCCTCTGGGTATGATTGTCCAATTATGAGAAATTCAATTGAGTTCAGTTTCAGTCAGATTAACAGGTTTCTTGTGTTACAAAGGTTTGGTTTCAGCCTGACCAATAAATCTAATAAACTGTTTTTTTTAAACATGTAACATACACTGAATTTGGGGTCAAAGTCTAGTTGAGCCCTCTAGCTTTGGAAATCTGGACAAGGTGGTATAGGAAAAAAAACACAACTGAAAAAGTAACGTTGAGGTTACATGGAAACTTGTGACATCTGCGGCCAAAATGTTTTCCTTAAAATTAAGCATTATCCAGCAGCTTCCAGTAACTTTTTAAAATGCCACTTACTAAGGTTTCAAATGAAAAAAGCTGATCTAGAAATGAGTCTACCAGATCGCTCAGTATCAGACATGTTGGCTACGTTTCAAGGCCCAGCCTGCCGTAAAGTGAACACTGCCTCTGTTTTTTTTATAAAGCCAAAGACATGAATGAAGACTGGATGGATGAGAGGAAGAGAAAAAAATGAATTAAAACCGTGATGGTGCTGGTGGTCAAGGAAATAGCAGGTCTGAGTCACTGGGAGGAATTAATGGAAGAAACACACACACACACACACTTAAAAAAACACACACGGGCACACACTCCTGCAGTGAAGCTGTGCAAGCAGACACACATTAAAGGCATGCAACCACACATACATATTCATTTTTTTTTCTTTCACACACACATACACACACAATCCTGCACAGACACACACACACACACACACACACACACTCTCCGCCCCTCTGCGGTCTCTAGCTGTGTGTTTTTGCCAAACACCTGTGTAATCGTACAGCTGTGGAGAATGCTGGGAAAGGACCGGGGGAACTGAACACCGCACAGCTAATACCCTTTGATTCCACCCGGATCACTGAGTGTGTGTGTGTCTAAGTGTGTGTGTGTGTGTGCGAGTGTGTAAGTAAGTGTGCAAAGTGTGAGTGCTTTTGGAGATTTGAGGGAAAGAGAGAGGAGTAGATGAGTGTTGGCTGGAGTTTGTTTTGCGTTTGTGTGTGTTGTAGTGATGGTGGTTTGTGTTTGTGTCTGTTTGTGTGTGTGTGTGTATAATCTGTCCCCAGTATCACTATTCTGGAACATTCCCCCATCCTCCTTCGCCTCCTCCAGCTGTAGTCACACCATCCACCACAAAGGAAGAAGCTGCCGTCGCTTTTTTTCAAACAGAAGCATTTTCATGTTTACAAAAGTTTTTGCCATTTCAGCAAAAAAAAAAAAAAAAAAAAAAATCTCAAAGGTCTGCTTCAGCTTCGTAAAAAGAAGCGCTCTGGAGCACTTACATGACACATCATCCAAACAATATCAACCTTTTCCCCTCATGGGTTCAACACTTGACTCTGTGCAAAAACAGCTTGTAAGAAAAGATCATTTCATAAGTAGCTTGTTAAAATATAAGATTGAATTTCTGAGCGTTCAGGAGCTGCACAGGCATGGACCAAATTTTGATTTCAAGACACATAACCTAGCAAACAGCACATCTCGCACACACAGTAACAGAGGAGGCAATACAGCCAGCGGGTGGATGGAAGTACAAACCCGATACAGGGATGTAAATGAAACCTCCGCTGATGTGACGTTATGGAGGTAAAATGAACACCGCCCTCCTGTAAACTTACATCTGCAAATAGCGATGTTCACAGACTGACTCTTACGGGAAACTTGCAAAACACTAGTCCAGCGGACATGGAATGACTGACAGCAGGGATAGCCAATCACACATAAACATTTACCAGTTAGAAGTTCTCACCTGATAAATAAGTTTGTTTGTTTTTTTCCTTGGGACAATTTTAATATAGGATCTTATTGACACAGCAGCTACAGTTCAGTTCATTAGTAGCTTTTACCTCCGACAAAAATTTTGATCAATAAAAACAGTTTTTATCCTCGAAATATGAAAATACATAAAAGTAAGACTAAATGAGCACACAAGGATGTCCTGCAAGTCAGGGGTCCCTCCAACACCAGTTTGAGTTTGAGACCTTGCATATGCTGCTGTTCAGTGTATCCTCGCTCCAAGGAGCCAAATATATACTCAGACACTAACATTGTCTTTAGTGCGTCTGTCTGTGGTGAACATTAACATACAGATCAAAACACGTCTCTTATAAAATCAGGGTGTATGTTGGGGAAAGTGGTTTCTACAGCCTGAAGCAGCATAAACTCTATTAATGAGCCAAAATCACTTCCACATTTCAGTGGACTGAGAGCCTCACCTGCTCACTCAGGTAAAGGTGACGATTATTAACAGCTAAAGACCTGCAGAGTAACTGAGGCTCCTTTCAGAGCGAGACGCTCTGCAGGTGTCAAATCTCACTGCACAATTCTGGGCTGGTTTGAGTCAGAGAGTGTGAGTGTGGATGGTTCTACAAGGCAACGTGTGTGCGCGCGTGTGTGTGTGTGTGTGTGTGTGTGTGTGTGTGTGTGTGTGTGTGTGTGTGTGTGTGTGTTATCCATAGCCTGGGTGTTTTTTGGGATAAGGAGGCGGGTGCCAAGCAGATGGTTTACACAGGTGTCTCCAGTATGTATGTACTGTATGTGTGTGTGTGTGCGCGTGTGTGTGTTTGTGAGAGAGGGAGGGAAAGAGAGGGAAACTGGTTGAGTAAAAGAGAGAAAGAAGGAGAAAGAGAGAGCTGGAGGGAGACAGCTGAGGTCAAGTTCAGGCCACTTCCTCATGTTTACCAAGTGAAAGTTGTCCTCTCAGCGAGTGCAGGTTTATCCACTGGTGATTAAAACAAATTGGTTACACCTATAAAACCACCTGTACTACAAACGTATGAAAGGATTTGTAAAAACTAGATCTTAAGGCTAAGACTAAGGCTAAGATAGAAAAGTGGGTTTAGCGTCTTGGGTTGGTTCCATCGTGTTGTCCAGTAATTAGATCAGACAGATTATCATGATTTTCCTTCCTTCCTAAAGACCACTCCTTCCACTGCAGCAGGTTTTAAAGTTTTGGTTGTTAGATTTAGGCGTCCTCATTAATCATTATTAATAAACTTAAAGAAATGGTGATGAAACCGGTTATCTGTTTAACCCCCTTTGTCCTGCCTAAGACTAAATATAAGTCAATAAAATCCTAAAAATGGTCTTAAATAACATAACAGTTTAGTATTTTTACCTTCTTATGATTTATTAACCTCAAATGTAGGTTGGCGTGTTCGAGTCCAACTTCTGCTGACTGGACACGGACGACTCACAGCAGCCATGTGGGAGCACATTTGAATATAACTATTGTGCTTAAGTGCAATGTTGAGAGGAGTGTGTGTACAGTATGTGTGTGTGTGCGTGTCTATGTCTGTGTGTGTGCTGAGGGGTTTAAAAGGAAGGCAGGAGTGCCAAGTCAGCAAACAGAAAGAGAGAAAAGTTAAGGGATATTCTGGGAGAGAGCGAGGCACAGAGTGACCTACAGAGAGAGAGAGAGAGAGAGAGGGCAGGAAAAGTAAAAATAGTGAAAAGAAGAGAGAGAGAGAGGGGTGAGGCCTGAACCAGGGATTTGTTGCTTTACACCAAACCCAAATCAACATAAACACTCTTAGACAGATGAAGAGAAGCTGCTTCATTTGCCACCACATGCATCCCGGCCACATGCGCTGAGGTCTGCGCTTTGTGGTATATGTATGTGTGTGTGTGTGTGAGTGCATGTGTGTACTCTGATGCGGTATAAAAAGAACACAACCACTTCAGTCACAAAGCTCAGGCTCAACTGCCTGAGCTGACGCTGGGGGTCTAATCTGTAGAGTCTAAACTCATATACACACACACTGCCCTCCTTCCTGTGCACTCCCTGTTTGGAACCAGAATCTGTCAGGTAACTTTGATTACATCCTGTAAAAATGTGCTGATATGCAGTAAAGATGTAAAAATTGAGGTTCAAAACTTCAATGCCACACTACCATAGGAAATTGCAACATTTTCAAGTGAAATCAAGCGATCAAACGGCTCAACGTTTTGCATTAGTGGTCAGCAAATACAATTATACAAATCAGGGGCCGATGCAGAAGTGCTAAAAACCGCAGTTCCCTCATTGTACTCTTGAGGCCGGCTGCATAAGAATGTCAGATGGTGAATTTTTGGTGTAAAAAATCTCATGTTTAAACTATGTGATTGGTAAAAGATGGAAAGTAGGTGACTTACTTAACTGCTAAACGTGTTAAATTGTAATTTATATGTGCAAATGTGTGAAATACTTTTTCAAGAACAAGAACATTAATGGAAATGTAGCAGAGTTAAAAGTTCAGATTATTTCTTCCAAATTCAGAATGCTTTAGTGAAGTATAGGGTAACCCATAAAGTAGACTTAACTACACTTCTTAACATTCAACTCAATTACAGTTAGGGATGGGCATTTCCAGTCATCCTCTTGTTTAAGTCTAATTACTTGATGAATGAGTGGTTAAGTACTCATAAATTATACATTTTTTTACTGGTCAGCTTAAGAACAGCAGTCTGTCTTCAATTCCCAGCTGTGATTCTGGGAATAATAATAATAATAATAATGCATCAGATTTCATATAGACCCTCAAAGCACTTTACATTGGATACATCATTCATTCGCTCACACAGTCACACTTTGGTGGTGGTGGAGACGTGGCTGCCATTCTACGCCTACGGCCTCTCCGACCACCACCACACAACACTCACAATCATGCACCAGTGGAGGACACACACTGGGAGCAAGGTGGGTTAAGTGTCTTGCCCAAGGACACAACGGACAGACTTGGATTAGGGGGAATCGAACCGCCAACCTTCCGGTCATTGGACGACCGCTCTACCTCCTGAGCTACTGCCGCCCGAAACTCCCACACATCACTTTTCCTCACAGCTGACATGGTGTTTGTACCTGTAAGCTAATTAAGTTGCAGTATTCTGGCCTCAAATCAATATCACGATATATTGAGCAGTTCACCTCGATAACGATAAATGGACGGTAACTACTCCACAAGCTGCTCACTCCCTTCCACATTAACGTCATCTACCTTACCCGCCGCGTGTTTTTGGTATATCACCCAGCCCTATATACTTCCAAGTAAACTTGAGAGCCTTTGTTTGTTTATCTTCATTATTTTGCTTTTTAACAGCACCTAACCAGAGTTTCTGCTGATCAAGAAGTAAATACACAAGAAAATGTCAATAATGTAAGAGCACTGGCATTGAGTTAACTGTGTAATTCAAAATAAAGACAGATGGCTGTAATCTAGTTGTGAAAAAGGGTTTAAAATATGAGCTGGAAATCCCCTATAATATGAAATCAAATCCCAAAATATGCATCAGTCCTAATTCATGTTGTTTAAATTTATGAATAAAGCTTAATCAGATGTATTACAGGGTGGATGGTGAAGGACTGACATGAGGGAGTTTCAACACACCTGACTGTTCACACCTGAGTCTGAACTTTGACCCTGACAGAGAAAAACACTTAAATGCACCACCAGGATGTACCAAACTGAGTTTAAAACTGATTTGAGTAAAATGACAGATAAATGTGTCACTTGTGAAATAAACTTTTTACATTTTAGGTGTTTTACTGACAGAAACTACAGGTATAGTACACAAACTTTGTTATTTAAAACATTTGTACAGTTTATTCAGTTTGATTTGGACTGTTTTGGGGACATTTTCAGTCATTACTTTCCTTCTTTACTCTTATAATGAACGCAGGTCTTAATAAACTGAGTCTGGTTTTTAGCAGCTGTGAGTCTGAGCACCTTCTGTGTGCTGATATTTAAACTAAAGGTCAGTTATTGTTGGAAAGCTTAGCTTCCAAAAATCTAATCAGAATATGTGTGTGAGAATGTGTGTGTGTGTCTGTAAATGTGTGTGACTGCGCCTGTATTAATGTGTATTCTCATTGAGCAGATTGCAGTGTAATCTCCTGTTGATCCTTTTTGCTGACCATTAGTTCCCACACTGAAATAATTCTCATTAATTACATTTAGACTTTCATAATTATCGGTGTGGCTCAGTTTTATCCTGTTGAATGATTATCCTCTCTGTAATTCACTGAAATGACTGCAGACCTGGAGTATTGCTCATAGACATTAATTAGAATAGATAATGTTGGATTATACTGTGCTTAAATTTTGTCCATATCCCTTTTTATGACTGATGTTATGCTGTGTGTTTCTTTTTGGGGTGTGTGTAGTTTGATTCAGTAGTGCTGGTGTAAATGTGGGCACAAATAGGGACGCCAAAATCCCCTTAGCCAATCAGACGGCTTGTCTCCTACTCTGCAGGTGATAGGCCGGGTCAGGAGGGTTTTCTCTTTATCAGCTGAGAGATGACATCAGAGACTTGGAGTTGGGATCTCATCTCCCTCCTCTCCCGACCAGCCAAATAACCTTTTGTTAGGTTTTGTAGGGGTGAATCGCCAGTTTATTTAATATCATATTCTTATGTTTTGTTAGTTAGGAAGGTGAGTAATTGTATTGTGTTTGTTGTTTTTGGGCCTTGATTCACCCTGAAGCTAGTTTAACCCAGTTCTTTGTTGTGGTATATTATCATAATTTTATTAATGAATATGTTCTTGTGAATTAACTTTGAATCAATTGTCATTGTGGCTGCTTGAGACTTGGGAGAAATGGGTCTTTTTTAAGGTTGTGTTCTTGGTGTTATGCCCCTAACCGGGTATAATCAGGCTAATGCGCTCCAACACTTGAACTCCTTTACCTGTACAGACACTTACAATGCAGGGAGCTGCCTCGCTGTTTTCAAGAGGAACCGGTTAAAGAAAGGATGGATTTTATCAAACAAACAAAAAAAGATACAATAATCTTTTTTACATAAATAAAGATTATGTTCAGGTCACTCAGGCTGTTCAGTGGTTTTGGATGTTACCTCTCTGATATTCTTGAAAGGTTGATAAAACACAATGAAAAATGCAACAGTCAAATTTCAAAGGGCAGTAAAGTGATTCTTTTTCAGTTTTCATTTTAAGATTATTTTAGGTTTTTTTTGTTTTTATTCATAGGACAACCTGAAAGCAACAGGAAAGGGGGGAGAGGGGGAGGCTGTGCACCAAATCATACCTGGAGCAGGAGTCGAACCCTCGATCAACCTTCGATTTTATGGGGCGTGCTTAAACAGACGGCACCACATACAGTAATTCATTGAAACCATTTTTTTTCTGTCTTCTGCATTATAACACATCAAATGTATCCAATGTCCTTCCCAATACAAAAACCTGTTGAAAGCAAACTACTTTAAATCACTAAGATGTTCAGAGTGTTGTGAGAAACGCATTTATGTTACAGATTTATCTGTTAAGAGTATTCATGTTGTAGCTCCTGTGCAAAAACGGCCTTCAATTCAGTTTTGGGAGGAGAAAAAAAAACAAAAACAACCCAAAGACGTCACTGCTGAATGGTGTGCTTCCTTAGAACAGCAAAAACTACCTACACAAGCAACTAAAAGGGACAGTTATACAGCTTTGGTGACTGTAATTATCTCTATATTATTTTACAAAAAGCCTGTGCACTTCAATTGTATTTGGACTTTTACAATTTTTAAATTCAGGTTTAATGTGTCAAAACATAAAGGAAGCTAGTGAGAGCCTGTTTTGAAATGCAAACTGTACATTAATCAGCTGTTCACACTTTTCTTCTACCAAGTTGATGATCAACAGTTGACTATCAAGTTTGTCTCGAGTGTACGCAGCGGCATTCGATAAAAAAAGAGTTACAAGGGAACTTGGATTGTCTTCATAAAATAGGATAAATGACTCTTGATTAAGCAACAACATGTTAATTATGTAGCAAATGTCAATGCCTTACTGTCAAGGTGTAGAGCTCTATCTGGTCCACACAAGGACACACACACACAAACACAAAGACTCACACAGAAACCCCCTTTGTCCTGGTTCAGGGTCAAACTGAACTACAGCAATAATTTTTTCATAAACACTTTTTTTCATAAACATACACACACACACACACACACACACACACACACACACACACACACACACACACACACACACACACACACACACAGACACACACGCTGACCTTCTGACAGAGACACACACTCAATATTTCTGTTTTTTTTGTTACTGAGTGTGTCACTATCACACATGCACACTGTCTCTCTCTTAGCACCTGTGGATTCAGCCACAGTTGGTCTGTCCTCCCGCGGAACGTCCTGTCTCACAGTCAGCATGAACCCAACAACCACACACACATGCATGCACACACACACAGATGTATTAGTTATGCAACACACTTACAGAAATCTTGTCTTGCTGCAGCGGCACAGAGAGAAAGTTTGTGCCACAGGTGCAGACTGTAATGTCAGACTTTTTCTGCAAGGCCAAAAGTGAAAGTTGTGATTATTAAAAATTCAGTTTCTCTCATGTTTATAAAAACATGAATCCTTAAATAATGAATAAGGCATGTGGCTAAATATAAATATTTTCACAGTTCTTACATGCAGGAGGAAATGAAGGAAGTACAAAAGTAGCAGCTATAAGCATGGGAATCTAAAGCGATTACTACTTAACAATAAAGTTTGTGTCTATATAGATGGGGCACCAACATTTCTCTCTATATATGCTCACTTTTTAAAAGTGTTTAAGCTACTATAAACCTATTACTTTAGGTACTTTTTAATTTCTCAGTATCTAATAAAACTATCTCTCTGAAGCTTTGATTAGAACCTTTACATTTTATCACACAGTGAGCAAACTACATGGAGTTTTATGGTCCTTGCTGTCTTTGGATGTGCTCTTTCGATAAACACGATAACAATACTGGCATGTTAGCATGAGAGAAGAAGCAAGTTCAAGTATGTCCCTGGTCTTTACTTCATTAGTACACATTTCTGCTCCAAATTCTTATACAAAGTCATCCAGTAGATCAGAAGATATTTCAGGAGGAAAGGAAGAACATGTGTGTCCATTTTTGCACCACTTCTGAACAGAGCAGACTTTGCTTATCTTGTCATCTATAGTCATCAAACTTCACAGTACTGGTGTCAGCTTAAGGGATTAAAGCTCCCCTGAGGAGTTTTTTTGACATATATGGAATAGACGGAAATTCATATTAACGCCTTTTTATATCCAAAAGTAAACAGAAGCATCAGCCACACAACTTATGATTTTTTTTTTCATATTCTTTGATACCTGATACTGGTGTGAAGGAGCCTGTTGTCAGCCAAGCAGGTAAGTATTACCAATAAATGATCAATATGGCTGCCAAAAGTCAGCATGATGAGGTTTTTTGTAAGAAGGAAATAAATTTTGCATGAACATAAATCCTCATGAGTGTAACATTAAATATTTTAATAATAAAGACAAATCAGTGAAGATGAAAGGTACCGGTTTGTCCACAAGGGCACCAAAATCAACACAAACCAAAAGTTCCTCACAGGAGCTTTACATCACCAGTTCTTGACCACTCTGAGCTGAATGTTTTGGATCCCACACAACACATAAATCAATACAACCAAGAGCAAGAAGCCTAACCCTAACCCTGACCTCTATATCTCTTGTAAACGACTGGAAAACAGTAAAATGACTTCCCAAAATGTCATTACAAATTGCACAATTGTTGCAGAGTTTCTTGATCACATTGGTTGACAGCCTAAAAATCCAGAAGGTTCCTCCTTAGAGAAAAACCCTTCTGGACATCTAAGTTAAAACTTTGCACATTCAAGGCCCCTCAAAAACAGGGATTTTGAGTTGTTACTCTCTTTAACAAGTTGCTTTACTCCAAATGTGAAGCAACAAAACAAGTATGTCTGCTCCTAATTAACCTTTGCTTTTACGGTTAAACATGTGCATTCCTTCATGACGAAAACACACACACACAATCACACACACACATTGCACACACAGTACTGCTTTCAGGCATGAGGGGAGCTGTGTTTCACAGCAACTAATGGTTTTTAATGATGTGTGCTCGTGCATTTTTGTGTGCGAGAGAGACACCAAAGCGCTCTGTGGAGATTGCAGGCAGCTGCTGGGAAAATACCTTAGCACATACACACACACGCACATACACACACACATGCACACACAAGCACACATCGGGGCCTTTGAACAGCCAGATGTGGCTGTGCAGCAGGTTGAGAGCATCAGTGCACCAAAAACAGGGTGAGAGGAGGGCTGGGTCTGAAGCTAAACCAGTTAATGGAATACAGATTTCCTCAACCTGCTTCAGCCTGAGGACATACTGTACACACACTCACACAAACACTCACACAAACACACACACAAACACATACATGCCGCAGCCCTGAAGGCAGGGGGCTGATCTTTGAGGTCCCGTTCATTAAGCTTGTGTCCAATTCTTGTAGTTACATCCCACTTCTATATCACTGGCTTGGTGCAGCTTCAGTTTGGGGGTAATTTACAGAGAATCACTCAATCACGTAACGTCTTAGGAGTGTATATTTTTAATTTCAGCTGTCTGTTATGCTCCACACACCTTGATTTCACTCTGAATGATAACTTAAATCTTTTATGTCTTCACTTAGGCTCCGCTTTTAACACGTAGACACACACTTGCATTTGAGTATCTTCATTGCTCTGCAGTGCTCCACTAAAAGAAAGTCAGCAGTGTCATGTCTGTGCTCATTATGTCGTCAGTTTCTTGTCCTGCTAAGTTCCCTCCCTCCTTGTAGGTAAACAGGAAACCAAGGTGAGCAAATCCAAGTGCAGACCAATCACAGGGCTTACAATAAAAACAATGTTTCAAGGTAAAGGAACTATTTTGAGGAGGTGCATATTGGGCTACACTGGTGGGCTTCTCTGTGGGTACAAGGTAGAGTTAGGCAATATCAATTATGATTATGGCCCCCCACAATTATAAAAATATGATAATCCAGATTGGACAATTATCCCGTCGCCTGCTGTGTTGCCCCCATTCTGTCCTTTATGATGAATAAAGTGCACCCTCCCTCTCTTACTTAACAGCAGAGCGAGGTTATGGCCCCTCCCCTAAAACAGCTCTCACTTTCACTTTATCACAAGAAGCAAGATCAATGAGAAACAAAGTTTTGGAGAGCAAGGAAGTTGCTGCTCCCACTGAGATTAACGGTGGACAACTGAATCTTCAACATGTTGAGCAACAGATGTACAAACTATCAAGCAGCCACAGGTGGAGAGAGGAGAGCAGGGAGAGGGCCCACACTGGAGGACCTTCACAGCTCTTACTGCCTCAGGAGAGCCACCAACATCATCAGGAGGCAGGTGGTTGTGTTTCCATGTTTGACTGAATAGCCAAAGGACAGAATGATCACAATGTGCATGAGGGACAATGAGCTAACTGGATGAAAATGAGACACATTGTCAAGAATCGGAATAAAATACAAGCTGAAGTCTTGAAGTTACAAAGCACATTAAATACAAGCTTAAATAGACTGAATGGTTTCTTCAGTCTGCGGCCTGTGATAAAGTGTAAGCAGTAAAAGAACACAAATGCTTATTTTTGTGACTGTAAAAATACGACATGCAACATTCAGTCCTGCTACTATTCAAGATTTCAGTATTACAAGCGAAATCTAGCTTTTACTTTTGTGAGTATAATCAGCAGAATTAAGTCAAACCCTGAAAGTAAAGTAAAAAAATGATGCATGGTTCATTTCTATAGTAACCCACTGAGCCATAGACGGCAATTAGATGTCAGAATTTAGACAATTTTAGACAGAATTTAGATGTTGCACTTTAACCCATTATTCAATAACTATTTATTTCAAAAAGCAACTGTGAGTTGCATAACTGATCTCCAAGTACTTAACCAAAATAATTATGATAGCTGTTGAGTAATATACAGTGTAGTAGGCTATAGATATAGTTCAGATTTAGGTTTAGTCTGAACTTGATCTAAATTTAGACATCTAAAGAGACTTTCATTCTTAGACCTGTGGCAGCCTGATTCTAGACCAGTCGTCTAAGCTACATTTAGACCTCTATTAGACCTCTTTTCGACCAAAAAATGCTCAGTGGGAGTTCATGTGACTTTTTATAACATAAGATCATCCAGTTAGACAGACCGAGAGGCCAAACTGCCTTTTCTATATTTTCTCAAAAAGTATTTCAGAGACTTTAAGTTGTACAAATAGAAGTGATACAGATGCCAACTCATGAGAAATCATTTATAACAATCCCGATATTCAAACCAAACAATCACGATTGTCATTTTTGCCATGGTGGTGGAGCGGCGTCGTCACTGACCGCGGGCAGCGCACGGAGCCACGCGCGCGCACACACACACACAGACACACAAATACACGCCAAACATTTCCTTCCCTGACACCGTCTTCAATCACCTTCTAAACAGCTCCTTTTCTCCTTCTATCATCTCCGTTGGATAGGGTTACAAAGGGTGCACATTTGAGCTCTGTCGGCTAACTTAAACACACATTCACACAGACATCCACTCCTCCACTTACCCGCAGCGCGTCCATTCACACCACCATGCCGGCTTCTGGTTTGAAACGAGGAAACAGAGCGCATGATTTCCGGGTATAAAAAAATGGGTATGGCGGGCAAAAGTGGTCACAAGTTGCCGGAAAAAAAATCCCTTCTTGTTTTCAATGAATCTCGAAAAATTAATGCTTCATTGATTTATGTGAAAACTTAGTTAAAATGGTAAAAATATAAAGAAAATGTCTGAATGTTAAAAGAGAGATAAAATGGTTTAAAAGTGAATAAAATAATAAAATGTCTTTTCCAAACTTATGTAATTAATAACTCCCACTGGGAGAGGCTATGGGGGTTTAAAAAATGTATATACTGAACTGAATTTTTTTTTTCCTTTTTTTTTTTTTCTTTTTGTTGTTGTATTGCTGCTGTGTTGCTTGTTATTTTTCTTGAGCAAGAATCTTACCTTACCTTAACCTTGTTGGCATTGTCTTTTTTTTTTTTTTTTTTTTTTTTTTTTGCCTTTTACATTTTTTGTAAATAGCATTTTGACCATTTTTGCACCTTTTTTTGTCTATATTTTTGCACTGCACCCTGGAAAGCTGACTCTAAATAAATTTCACCATCACCATATTTTTCAACTACGTTTGTCTTTTCTACTGTTTTTGATTGTTTGAAAGAGAACCCCTGCATCAGCGATTATCTAACAGACCCACACTCATGTGTTGCTTACATTGAGGGCAGGAATGTCACAAAAGCAGAATGAAAAGTTTACCAGCAAATGTAAGACAAAGGCTGTTAAAGTGAGACTTTCTCGCTTAATAAGTCCTTCTATTGAAAAGACTCAGACTGTCAGCTATTTTTTTATTTCAAACTATATGTGTGAGTTCAAAAACCCAACAAAAGTATGTCTTTGCAGGGGTGAAAACTTGTAATTTGATTATTTCTTCTTGCAAATGTAAAAAAAACAATACAGCTAACCCAACTCAGTCTGAGTACAGACTTCTTTAAAACAAAGACAGACGTCTTCCAGTTCTGAAAATACACAGTTTGAAGAGGCGATAAAATTTGCCTCAAGCTTGCTATCGTTTCCTGCAGCTAGTCAGCGAGCTGCGGCACACCTTTGGGGGAAACTTGGCAGAGCTGATGAGGAAGGTGTGAAGACACGAGAAAAGAGAGGGAAAGAAAGAGAGACTCCCTTTGGGTAAATTTTCACCTCTGATGAGGGAGGAGGGTGAGAAAAGAGAGAGAAACTAAAGAGGGAAGCAGAAAGGAGTATGTGGAAAAAATCAGAGGACTGAGAATGAAGAGCTACGATGTGAGCTGATAATTTGATCTCTGACAGGGAATCTTTTATTTCCCCTCGTTTATGGTGTTGTTGTGAAGTTGTCAGAGAATAATAGTCCACACTGCTCACCTGAGTGGAAAACTGTTTATTAGGCTCTAATAAGAAGGTGACACCTTTTACACAAATAAACATTTATCCCCACAAGCTCTGGCTGTGAATCGTTCTGTATGTTTCTGCTACTTATAAACATGTTTGTCGGCAGGAACAACTGAGGTTGGCGACATGAAAACACTCTGCAGGTATTAATACCTTGTATATAAATATATATTTCCAAAGGATTGTAGTGAAGAGTTGCCTTAATAGTGGTAGAAGTGCTTAACCCAGATGTTCCACAAGTCTTTTTTGGGAAGCGCACATTTTTGTCTTCAGGATTACTTTTCCATTGATAATCCACATGTGGCGGACATAAACCTTTGTTTGGGAATCTGAATTTAGTTTGTTTTAATAAGTCTAAAGCGCGCTGTGTAATTCAAATTTTTCCCACTCAGAGCATCTGGGCCAAAAGTGACCATATTTAAATCCGTTTTAACCACCATTTTTTGGTTACGTAGCTCCTGCAGCAAAAAGCACGCTCAGTCTAATAAGATTCAGTCAATCTGGATGTCAATCTCCAAATTTGTGGTTCGCTGTTTCGCAATTGATGGTGCTATTTACCCGATTTAACACCTGGGGCGAAAGCAAACAGGTGTCATGATAATGGGGCTTATTTCTCTTTGGGGGGATATTTTAAGGAGGATATGAAATATATCTGTCTTGTTACTTACCAATTCAAACAGAATAATTTTTTATAAGAAAAAAAAATACCTCCTAGCATTTTGTCTTTCTAAAATAATCTTTTTTTTTCTGAGTGAGTTTTTCTTTCGTGCCTTTTTTTTTTTGTTTGTTTCTGTTTCAACAGCTTTTATTCTTAGCCTGGCGATAGTAGCTGTACAGAATTATGAAAACATTATGCAGAAATTAAGTTGCACACAGTAGTCTAGGTGTAATGTTTTGCAGTTCAATTATTTAGTAACTTTCTACACAAGCCAGGACTTTAAAGCAGACGAAGACATCAATGCTCTTGTGAGCAGTTCTTGATTGACAGACTGAGATGAACTATGATGAGTGTTTATGATGTACAAAAGCACTTACGAGAGTTATCACTTTGTCCACAGGGGGCACCAACGCCAACACAGACAGAAAGTTCCTCACAGGAGCTTTAATTACAGGATTAGACTCTCATCTCTGCTGCAGATTAAATGTAAAGGGAGTCAACAAGGAGAGCGAGACGCAGATGCAAAGCAGAGGGGTGGTCTCTACGGTGGCTGGCAAGGGCGGGCAGACAACTTGCAACAGGCACAAATGATCTTCCTGCAAATGTGACAGTGAAAACTCACAGTAGATAAAGAAAATGTGCTGCAAAAAAAAAAAAAAAAACAGCAGCAGAAACATCAAATGCATTAAAAACAACCAAAACCAGAAAACAACTGCTCACAGTAAATGCTACAAATCCAAACTTCACAATACTACTACTAATACTACTACAACTACTACTTCTACTACTACTACTACTTCTAATGATAGTAATGCACAGATTTAATATAGCGCTTTATCAGAGACCCTCAAAGCACTTTACATCGGATACATCATTCATTCACTCACACAGTCACACCTTGATGGTGATAAACTACCTTAGTAATCACAGCTGCCCTGGGGCAGACTGACAGAAACATGGCTGCCAATTTGCGCCTACGGCCTCTCCGACCACCACTACACAACACTCACAATCATACACCAGTGGCCGTTACACACTGAAAGCAAGGTGGGTTAAGTGTCTTGCCCAAGGACACAATGGACAGACTCAGGATAGGGGGGAATCGAACCAGCAACCTTTTGGTTATTGGACGACCGCTCTACCTCCAATAAAGGTGCTGCATGCTGGTGGGGGAGCCAGGAATGAGACAGAGAAGAAGAGTAGACACTGTGTTTAATATCTGACCATGTCAACATTCATGCAACTGGAGCAGAGCGTGTGGGACAACCACAACCGTCTTCTGTCTGAGAATTGGAGGACTTGCTGCTTTTTCAGTGTAAAAGACTTTTTCTACATCATCAGAAATTAAACTATTATGATATTCCTTTCAGTATAAACCAACTTAAACATGCTGCTGCATGTTGAGTCTCTTCAGAAAAATGAATAAATAAATTCTACACAACGTTCAAATGTGAAATAGTTGCTGTTTTTGGGTGAATCTTAAGTTAGCGATAGTTTTCAGAGGCTTACGTTTGTACGTCCACATCATGATAATGTATATTTAGAGGATGATGTCATTCCACACAAAGGTGGGTCTATCTGTGTTTGGATGATAAAGCGTGGCAGCCCTGTAAGATCTTTATAAGTAGAGGTTTTGTCTACTTACAGGATCAGATCATCACTGCATCTGTCAAACTGATCTTTATTAAACCTCAATCAAATTACAGGCTACAGTCTATCTGCGTCTGTGTGCGTGTGTGTGTGCATGTGTGTGCGTGCGTGTGTGGAGTCCACATGAGAGCTCTAATAGAGTGGAGTGTGGGATCAAAGGGCTCTGCAGGCAGCCGCTGTGGTCTGGTTCACCACCGAAACTGACGTCAACACACAGGCAGACCAGAGAGAGGGTGAGAGAGGGGTGAGAGAGAGAGGAGACAGAGGGGTGAGGTTTGCCCTGTCACTTTATGAACACATACACCAAAACTACCACAGCTTTAGTCTGTATCCTTTATTTACTCCAGTGGTAGTTTTTTCTTTTTAATTCATTTAACATGTACTACTTTGAAATTACTTAAAAAAATGTGTTTATATCATAAAATCTGAACATAGCTGCAGGGTTTATGATGTTTGAACATGTATTTTGAGTTAATAAAATAACTATTCATGCATGTCTCATTTGTTTTCTGCAGCAAAGATAAGATTTCTCCTTTGACTGTCTCTTCACAGTAACTCAAAGCAAACTTTAGATAATTGCATGCAAAGAAAACCGGCTGTGTTATTCTGTGTCTGTTAAATTTCTTTGAATAGAGCTAAAACAGTGTTTCGTTTAAAGATGAGTCAATAGATATCTCAGTTACAGACAAATTTTTGACCTCACACTCGGTTCCTTTCGCACACTACTCTGATTTTGGGCACTGGTTTCAGCTTACTTTTGCCATTTGCGATGTATTCTGGGAAGTTTCTTATGCCACTGGTTTTGGTTTGGAGGCTGCATGTGGAACAGTTCAGCCTGTATGAACATCTGGAGGGCTGGATGACCAATGACACCGCCCTTTCTAAAAAGAAAAAAGAGAAAGTGGAGAAGAAGAAGGGGGGGAGGTGTGGCAGAGCACGAGATCATAAACTCAAAGACACAAAACTGTAAAGCAGGATGTGAAAACACTCAAAAGTATGCTTGAAAATGAATCGAAACGCACAAACCGCACAGTCAGATGTCCAACAAAAACACACATATTGATACGAACAGACCCATGCTGCACAAACACACACACACACACACGCACATACACACATGCTCAATGCTGTCCACAGGTGGCTGCTTGGAACCTGAAAAAAAAGCTGCTTATTTTAGATCTTGTCAACCAGAGCCCCTGGGCATACACACACACACACACACACACACACACACACCCTAACATTCAGCCATGAATGAAGTCTTGTCGAGGGAGAATAAACCCTCGATGAAAGGCATTTTAAGAGGTAGCAGCTAATGCCAAAGTCCGTTCATATTTGTCCATTAACTCACATTGCCTTCATGTTTATGCAGATGACATTATGATATTAGAGTAAGAAGTACTCTCTTGTCAGTATGGTATCCTAGTAGCAAACTTACACTCTGTTTATGCTACCTTCAGTGTCAGATGGGATGACGGTGGTCTCTTTTCATCTCCATGTCCACTCTCTGAATCAGTGCAGAGTGCATATATGCTGCTGGTGTGCGGAGATGCTCATTTCTTTAATGAATATTACGACCGTAATGTTCATCAACAACCTTTAGATTACGAGCTAAATAAAAATTATTGATAATAAAAACTGACAAATATATTTTTTGTTTTCGATGGCGAGGGGATGACATGACAAAGTTGTTTCAGTTTTATTGTTCTACACTAAAAATCTGTGATATTTTCTCTGTAGCATCTCTTTTCTGTTCAACCCGCAGTGGTCATTTTGAACAACTTAGTAAATAAGCAAATGCAGCATTCATTGATTTAAAAAATATGTTTCTTCTTTCTTCCTCAGCGCACCACCTTCTGTCTTCATTTCTGTTGCTATACGTTACATCATGCTGCTTTCATTGGTTGATAATTCAGCTGATTGGGTGTAGGCTCATACATTCACTTCTAGAGGCTTTGATATGCGACTGCTGCCATGGCTCCCTAGAAAACCAGGGTGAATTGAATGACCCCAGACTCATTCGGCAAGGTGGACTTGTCTGACAGTCAGTACTTTCACATGACACTCAAGAAAACCGAATTATCGTCTTACTCCGTTTAAAACTGGACAACTGAAGTGCATGTAAACTATAATCAGAGTTTGAGAACTCCGATATGAGTCGGAGAACTCCGATTAAGACACTCAGATAATGTGATTGAAATTCAATTTTCTCTATCATGTAACCAGCGTAGTCGGAGTACGATAGGGCAATGCATGTGCCATGCCCCCGGTAACCCTAGATTCAGGATCAATTGCATTGCAAATGCGCCTGTTCTTTAGCGTGTCGTTCCAGTATTGCTAGAAGCATGTCCCTTCAGACCACTGGCATCCTGAAATATACATGTAAGCATAATCCCTTTAGCTACTATAGCATCATTATTTTCAATCAGTGAAAGACCACGAATCACTTTCACAGCTTGATAACACTAAACACTTTGTATTTACGTATTAAATGGAAATAAATGCATCAGTCTATCTAAACTAAATCTAAAGTAGCTGCCAATATTTACATATGTGTTTGTGTGTTGTGTGTTTGCGGAGGGGACCTCATAATAACATGAATGAGTCCCATGCTTGAACAAATTAGCAGCAGCATTTGATTTTCTTAACCAGCAGTTAAATATTTCCAGAATTTCTTTTGGTTTGAAGTTTTAGTGATCCCACACTGTGGGCATGTTCTGCAGTTTGTTTGTGTATTTTGTTACAGCAACAGCAAGCCTCACAGACAACATTTCATGATGCACAGTTAACGGTATAGCTGTCTGGAATTAAACGAGGCCTGGAGGATTTATAGCGTTGGAGTCACTCAAGCTTTTAGAGAACTTGTTTCAGTCTAAACTTGATATTTTAGGAACAATGCTGCTTTGCTTTTCTTACGTGAATATGTCATGGACTTGCCTTCATTATATTTTTTGAACTTTCATTTTAGGTGACCAAATTAAGAGACTATTTCAGTGGATGTTGCTGGAAGTTGGAGTCAAAATTTCAGGCTGTTTGCACCAGCCACCAATAAAGGTCCTGAAAGGTCAGAGATCAAAAAAGCAAACATTTCCAGAAGAGAGCAGTTGTGAGAGCGTTCGCTTCAACACACAGCTACAGAGAGGGCATGCATCGTGCTGAATGGTGACCAGATGGGGACAAAAATGTTTGCGTGTGTGTAAGTGTGTGTCTGTGTATTAGTGTGTGTGTGTGTGTGGGCCACAAGTAGGCTTCTAGTTGCCACGAATGTCTCTTTGAAGGAATAAAAGCTTTGAAAAGAATTCAAATGGGAGACAGAGATGATGATGATGATGATGATGATGATGATGATGCTGTTATGTTCGGTGTAGCTCGGGGCTGTTTCATGTTTGTTTGTGTGTGCATGCTTCTCTTTTTTCTTTTTTGCCTGTGTGCGTGTTTATTATGGTGACCACGAGTGTGTGTCTCAGCGGGGTTGACGTCAGGTGCAGCGCAGGTGGGCAGCAGGGGGAAAGGATGAAAAGGTCTACAAAATAAACACACCTGATCTCACTGGGCTCGTAACAGGACGTGCCGCTGCAGTTCTGCTCCGTTTGTGATTTTTTTTTTTCCAACCCTAAAAAAAAAAGTGAAATTATTTTGCGTCACGCGCTAAAGTGCTGTTTGTATCCTCAAGAGGCTCAAAGTCACTTACTGTATTAAGAGAGCTGGAACAAACAATATGCTGATGATTTCATTATATTTAGACTCGGACCGATAGTGGTGCTCATTGTTTTAGTCTGAGTGGTGATACTGGTCAGAAAGTCATTAAGGTCAAGACAGTACATCATTACATGAGTTTATGGAGTGGACATGTTTAAAAACGAGCTTTGCAAAAATTACCACTGCATCAGTACCACATTTGTATTTGTACTATGAACTTACGCTAAAAAATATAGGTATTTCCTTCCAATACTGTGGGAAAATGGTGAATATTCATGCTGACGGGGTAATCTGCATGCTGATAATGACAAAAAGTCCAGTCCCACAGAAGTTCAGACCATCCATCCACATTGGGGGATGAGGACACACTGGATTGGTTGCAAGAAAGATAGTAAATATGACTCTGTGAACACTTTAATAAAAGTTAAGAGAATTTCAAACATAAGCACAGTCACAGCAAAAGCAACAAAAAAGAGCCTTAAAATAAATCAAAGTAGGGGTCGACCTCAAGTGTTTTTTCAGGACTGATATTGATAACTGATATCTAGTGCCAATAGGAGGAGCTCTCTGTCAAAATGTTGAATTTGGAATATTACAAACCCCAAGACAAAACTTTGAATGCCTTTAGAAAGTGTTAAATCAAACCTTAAATATCATGGTTATATTCATATAGAGATGTAAACACTTGACTAGTTACACTTAAGCAGAAACCTGCCATTGTCAGGTGACCTTAAGAGCAATCAGGTAGTGTTGTGGGCAGGACATCAAAGTGCTACAAGAAGAACACACATTGGTCAGTGAAACCACACTCTTTAATTTAATAGTTACATCAGCCATGTGTGAAATAAAAGGCTATTACAGATAAAAAGTCACATGACAATTTTGTCAGCAAATGCCAACAACTGGTCAAGCTCTGGTCCAAAGACACACATCACATTAAAAAAATAAAAAAAATAAAATAAAATAAAAATCTCAACTTAATGGAAAAAAATGCTTCATTTCTAAAACGGTAGGTCAAGGGCACATTGACTATTGATACACATCTTCTTTTAACAACACTTCTAAGTTTGGGGACTGAGAAGACCAGTTTTCTCCCATTGTCACCTGACTATGGTTTAACACTTTGGGTCTTCTTAGATGTATTTTTCATGTCATGATACACTAGATATATCCAGTGAGTGAAAGTCAAGACTGCAGTCAGGCCAGTTTAGCAGCAGGACTCTTCTTCTACAGCGATGACCCCTCCTAAATCA